AGTATTATCGTTTTAAATTTATTTTTGCACATTTTATTCGCTTAATATCATGCAATCAGCAATTAAAAAAAATCATATTGATTAAAATTTATTAAAATTTATTAAATTAAAGCAGCATTTTAAATTTAAACCTAGCAATGTAATCTTTTAGAGGGAATAATAGGCTCACGACGAACACACATTTATTTTAAGATATTTAAAATTTAAAAATCTAGTTCACAAAATTTCATGATGATAAAATGAAGCTGGAATAAATAACAAAAAATAAACCAAAAAAGGGTTTAGTTTGTAAAAAGCATTAGCAGAAATTAATTTGTTGAAAATTTTATGATAATTATTGTTATATAAAAACTAGGGAGCCCAAACCCGTAAGTGTAAATGTTCGGAAGCACAATTTGGATTTTCTGTGTTGCATGCCCAATATACTGTAGCCCAAACATCAGCCCATACATAGCTAGGTTTATTGTTCCTATCAATTGACCATAAAGATGTGTATGTGGTACTCTGCGCGTCATAAACCCATATAGCATCTTTTCCTATAAGTTCTTCATGGTGGCCATTGTCATCATTAAATACCAATTTGCCGATTGCTTGTAGGTTCTGAGGAGTACTAACCGTAATATTTAAATATGTATATCGATTATCATCATGGGGATATTCTCCAGGCTGTGGTTTATCAGATTCTACCCATGAGGCAGATATAAATTGAGCACCACAAGCTATGAAAAGAAAATATTAAATTTTTCAAGATTTTATGAACAATAAATAAAGATTTGTTTTAAAATTTACATACCACCGAATTTATTATTACAACCTTTGCCCTTAGGATCTCCATCACAATCCACCTCAACATACATAACGAATAAAAATACAAGCAAAGTAAATGAAACAATATATTTCGGATTCATGACTGTTATGTTATGTTCAAATTTCTATGTGCTATGAATTTATTATGTTTATTATTATTATGATTGTTAAAATTATATTTAACTTTCCGTGTGTTTATATATATTTTTTACTGAAGAAAGTATTAACCATTTTTGTAATTTCGAACTAATAGTACGGGTAAATTTTCAAGGTTAGTACTATAGTATTATTACAAATACAGTGCTAATCAAGATTTTTTAGATTTTTGATATAAAACTAGAAAAGACATCCCTAGATAGACCGGGTTTACATATTTATCGTAGACCTAACTGCATGTAACATTAAAAAATTTTATTGATTATCATTGCATAATATCTAAAATGACGAAATATTATCATTCGCAGAGTAAAAAATTATTTCATCTTGTTTTTGAATGTAGTTGCAAATCAATACGTTTATGTTAAGAAAACACAATTTCGACAATAATAACCTCATTTATTTGTTTATTTTACGATGTTCATCGGCAAATTTCGATAAGTAAAGAATTATTTTCGGTAATAAAAATGTAGTTTTCAATAATAAGATTTTCATCCGATATATAAGATTATACCGAAGTGATATACTGTTATAACCAGGGGAGAGACTTTGTATCAACGTAGCCAATTCAGTTCAGGGTTATAAGCATTAAAGGGAAGAAACCAAGTATTTATTATATTTATATAGAACACTGAAAGTATCCAAAAACCTACAACTGACAGATGAGCCTTCTCTATTTATTCCCAAATCCAAAAGGTACTCCCAGAGTACTATCCACAAATCCAACTAAGAATCCAACTAAAAGAAGAACTAACTAAGCGACCTACTCAAGTAACTAAAAGACTAATTAACTATCTTTCTCCCTTTTCCCTTTTATACCCAATTTCCCTTAACGATCATTATTAAAGCAATTACTAATACTAATGACTATTTAATGATTACATACTTCATTCACTGGCACTAATTACTACATTGTTACATTTCCCTGCATAACATATCATTTACTGACTGTATAGTTCATGCGCTTGTACCAATTACTACATTATTACATTTCTTCGCGTAACAATACCAGCAGAAAATCTTATTACAGTTGTTTTTATAAATTCCGAAACACTTGATAAAAATCGCCGAATGATTTTTCGGCCGATCCGGTTAAGTAGGCATGATCGATACATAACGATAAATTACAATTTATGTTACGTCATATACATATAGATTACACTGTAATTTGAAACATATAAGTTTTCGCACAGACTAAACACACTACAGCACTAAACATGTTGGGCAAGTATTTAAACGAAAATTTGTAATATTGACATTTTATAATGTTAAAATTATCGTAGAAAAGTATCACATATAATGCATATGTCTTATATATAGGGATATAGGGATATATATCAGTATATAGTGTGGAAATTTGCGTGTAAATTTCTGATATGTAATTTTTGTTATGTAAATAACGTTGTCCAGAACTTTTATAGAGCTGGCACACAAAGTCTAATAATGCTGTAATGCTGTAATGCTGTAATATCTAATAATGCTGGCAAAATTTTTGTAATGCAGATCAATAATCATGTGTCACCGCATTACTGAATTCCTGGAACACCTGATAAAAATTGACTGAATGATTTTTCGGCCGTTCCGATTAAGTCATTGATTTCGGCATGATAGGTACGGATCTTACATACATATACATTGTAATTTGATTATGTATATATGTTTTCGCACAAACTAAGCATACTAAACATGTTAGCAAGTGTTCAAATGAAAATTTAATAATATCAAACGTGTTATCTGCAGAACTAGTATCATGGCTTTTATATACGGGTAGAAATTTGGGTAATTTTACATATAAGTTTCTGGCATAGTATTTGTATGTAAATAACGTTGGCCAAAAATTTCGTAGAGCTGACATATAAAGTCTAGTGCTGGTAAAACTTTCGCACTATTTAATTGTTAATGTAAAAATTACGTACGTACGTACTTACGTGCATATGTACAATTTTGTATTTTTATTGAATCTATTATTCCGAAATTTCATACTTAATCGAATTGGCTGGAGTACCATTCGGTCAATTTTTATCAGATGTTCCAGAAATTATGAAAATAGCAATAAGTTACGTATGTATAGTTTGTAATTTTATTGAATTTATTATGCCGAAATAATAACTTAACTGGAACGGCCGAAAAATCATTCGGCTGATTTTTTATCAGGTGTTTCAGAAATTATGAAAACAGCTGTAATAGCAGTAGGTGAACAGATCGGGCCGGGCCGGGCCTGATTTTACAGCTATTATCATTATTTCTGGGACACCTGAAGAATTTTCAGATGACTGAAATATCCTCTGTTTCATTCGGCAAATTATCTAGCTCTCCAGAAATTACATCGCTGTCTTCGGACTGAAAGTATGGAGACAGCGATATAGTTTCCAAGAAGTTAGGTAATTTACCGAATGAAACAGAGGATATTTCGGTCATCTGAAAATTCTTCAGGTGTCCCAGAAATAATCATAATAGCTGTAAATAGGCCCGGCCCGGACCCACTACACCGAGCTTTGATTTTTTTCGGGCCGGGCTCGGGCTCAAAAATATTTTTCAGGTTTTGTTTGGGCTCAGTAAAGCCTGGCGCGTTCCGCACCCTACTTTCAGTTGTACAGTACAACTGAAAGTGATTGATTGACCAATTAAAAGAAAGTTATCCTAAAAATACCGAAATAATGATCTACATCCTTGTTAACTACAATGATTTACATCCATATCTAGTTACGACTAACTTATTTACGTAAGATACGATGGGTTTACTAATTTTTTCCTACCACTTCTACCACTCTGATTGGTTCTACTAATTATTCGGAGTATCTACCTTATTAATCAATTTTATGATACTCCAGTAGCGAAGTGGTGGGAAAATCAATAAACCCAGGTCGATCATTCCATAAATATTTTACTATATAAAAAAGTATCGACACATGTCGAAAGGTGATTTTCCTAGCAAAGATCCCAAATAATAATCAACAGTTTATTGAACATTTCCAGATTACCGAACCTTTTTAGAATTTACTATAATTAGTTGACTTCTTTTGAATATAAGATATAATAATTATCATTATGTGCATACTTTACCGTTAGATCATACTATGAACCTTTTTTTTTTTTTAGCTTTCTAGTTAGTCTCTTATCTAGATTTACGAAATATTTTGTGCTTCTTTTAGTTTTTACTTGATTTTTTATGAAACATATGAATTGATTTAAATAAGAATATTTCATTATCAATAATTGGTATTCGCTGCTCATCATATCTAATTATTAGTTTGGACGGAGTGCAATTTTTAATAGTCATAGTACTCTTAAATCTTCCATTAGATTCAATTTATTCATATCAATTTAACGTTCTATACATTTTCCAAATTGCATTACACTCTTTATAAATTAATTGATAAAATCATGTGAAACTTTCCATTTTGTAACAAATAAAGAATTTTTTTTAGATAGCTGCGAGACGTTATCGCGCAAATCCGAGACGAAACCTAAAAAAGAAAAGTGGCAATTATAAACTTGACTGCTAGATAAATTCACATGATGAATTTGCGTCTAACCGATTACTCTCCCCTCAACTGATTACTTTTTCACACTGATTTTTAGTATCGATATGCGATATATCCGTCAAGTAATTATCTAAATGCACAA